AGAACGGAACACTGCCTGGTCCTGCGACCTGTGGACCCCAGAACGGAACACTGCCTGGTCCTGCGACCTGTGGACCAGAGAACGGAACACTGTCTGGTCCTGCGACCTGTGGACCCGAGAACGGAACACTGCCTGGTCCTTCGCCACCTTCCCAGCTCTTACGTTTGAGTCCATCGAATGCAGCCACTGTGTCAGCCCCCCTTTGTTGCAGGTCTCCTTCTTTTTCGCTATCCCCCCCCCCCCCCCTGCAATGCCTCGTTGATTTAAAAATTAGGTCTCGTGGAAGATTACTTCTAACAGCATGGTTCCTGAAATTCCTTCTCACATTTGTGCATTGCCAGGGGCTCTCTGCAGTGACAGAGAAAAGGGTGGCCCAGAGCCCTGGTGGTCCACACACAGGCACCATCAGCATCACGTGGGAGCCTGTTAGACATGCAGCGTCTCGGGACCCTCCCAGAGATGCTGAAACAGAATCTCCAGAGCGAGCTCAGCATCTGTAACTGAACAAAGCCCCCCAGGTGGTCCCTCTATATGGGTCAGTTTGGAAGCGCTAGCGTGGCATACCACTGCCCCAGGATTGCCTACAGCCTCATAGCTATCAGCATCATCTATGCCGAGGTTGAGAGCCGATGGGCTACATTCTAGTCCTTGAACCATAATTGCAAGAACGTTTACTCCCCTGCCCCCTCCCCAGTCTTTCTGCATACACAATATAGCCACTATGCCTTGGTCTTTGTTGCTGGCCAAGTTCTCTGGGAAACAGGATCCTGAGATGATCGAGCATGAAGTTGATTGACGGGCGCTCTCAGACACACTGGGCAGACTGTGGGAGACGGGCGTGGGCAGCGGGAGGAGTTGGTCTGGGATGCAGCCTCAAATGTGGGCCCAGACAGTCCTTGAGGGAGCCCCAGAGCAGGGATGGCCCTTTGAGGCAAGGGAACTGGGTTTTTTATCTCCACGTTATAACACTGGGTGAGGCAGTTCAGCTTAGGGCAATGCCCAGAGAGGACTATCTGGGAGTTAGTAGCAGCAACACTCCCAGCAGCTGGGGACTGACTCCGTGCCTTGGCTCGGAAGGCGTATGTGAGAGGCACCCGCAGTATCTTCTGCACTGCTAACGAGTCGGTGCTGACTCATAGGGACCACATTGGGTGTGAGGTGGAACGGTGCGCTGTAGGGCTTTCAACAGCTGGTTTGGGGAAGTAGATCATCAGCCTTCTTCCAAGGTGCTTCTAGGTGAACCCCAACGTCCAATCTTTGGTTAGCGGCCGGCTGTGTTGGCTGTCTGCACCCCCCAGGAGTTCCTCGTAGACATCACAAAGGCCTTTGTCACGTTTGAATTTCCATCTGCTGGCACATCTCTGCACGCATCTCTCACTGCACGTGTTATGATACACCCCTTCATGGTTTTCTGCCCATTCTGGGCCGGCCCTTTTTCTCTGACACAGTCTGAGGTCAGGAGAAGAATCGCTGGGCTGAAGGTCAAACCCAGGGTCTCAGGTCCCACCCAGCTTGTCATTTCAACTCGTGACATGCTGCTCCCTTTTGGAGAGGCCCCTCAGGTCCCCTGCTTGCTCTCGGTGAGGCTGTCAGCAGGGCTGCAGCTGCCTCAGATACAGTGGATGGGGGGAAATGCATTTTCAACTCTAAGATGCGTACCCTGAGCCTCGTGTCAGAAGAAACTCTTCTCTCTAAACCTCGTCTCTCCTCGGTTTTAATGTGTCCTTTCTTGTTCCCCTTCCCAGAGGGGCAGGGCCTGTGGCAGTGACCCCAGGCATGTTCTTGTGTTTCAGGGGCCAACACTCCCTATGCAGCGCAGCCCACCAGCTATGACTACGATGCCCCGCTGAGCGAGGCCGGGGACCTCACTGAGAAGTACTTTGCGGTGCGAAACGTGATCCGGAAGGTGGGTGCTGTACGGGCCGTGCGTGGGGTCTTGGAGAGCGCCTCCCTTGAAGTGGGCATGGCTCTGTAGGCAGCCGCCTTCCTGGAGGCTTCCTGTTGAAGAGGGCGGATGCTGAGAGGCATCTGGTAGACGTGGGGAGGTGTCTCAGCCCGCACCTGGCTAAGAGGGAGAGTGAGCAAGGTACCGCTGGGGTGCTCATCTGTCAAACGGAAACCTCAGAGCCTGGTGGTGTGGTAAGGCCTGGAAAGAAGAGTTAGGACACATCCCGAACAGTTCCTGACACATAGGTGTCCAATCGGTGCTAGCCATGCCGACCACTGAATACATAATAAAGTCAAGAAACGGTGCGTCCCCATATGTTGTGTGTTTTCAGAACACATGCGTGGATGTTGTGAGGAGTCCCCAAGGGGCCGCACATGGTTAGCATGCTCGGCTACGGACAGAAAGATTGGGGATTTGAGTCTGCCCAGAGGCACTTCCGAAGAAAGATCTGGCCACTGACTGCCAATGAACCAGCCCTAGGAAGCCTTGTTCTACGCTGAAACACAGGGGCCGCCAGGAGTCAGAATGGACTTGACCGCAGCTAGGCTACGGTAGGAATCGTGGAGCACAGAGCAAATGTGCGCCGTCAGCAACGCTGCTCCCTTCTTTGGGAGGGGACACAATTCATGGCCGTTTCCTTCTGAACTGCACAGCCCTGCTAACGCCGTGTCAGTCTGAGAGACCTTAAGCACCCAGGTGGGGTTTCCTGTCTCCTGTGGGTTTGAAAACACACACACACAAAACAAACCCATAGTTTTTCTGCTCAGTCACCTGAGTTTTGAAGTTAAAAAAAAAAAAAAATGAAGGTTTTCTGCCTGCAAATGGCAGGGTATTTTTTTAATGTGGGTTGTCCTCTCAATGTGCAGCACAGGCGTTAGTTTTAACATTGGTTTTATGAACTACGTCAGCCCTATGAAAGGAGCAGAATTTAGACTTAACTACTCGTAGAACATCTCTGTGTCTCCTAAAAGGCCAAGTGTAGTATTAAAATGTTGTTCGTTATCGGTTTGATCTCTGCAGAAATTATATGATGATGACCCTCAGGCGCTCCCTCGTGTGTTTGTTCTCTGCCCTGGCCTGATGTGAGAAGCCCTGTGGGTGCTGTTGGTTCAGTGTTGGACTGCCCACCGCAAGGTGTGCGGTTCAAACTCACCAACAGCTCTGCGGGAGAAAGTCGAGGCTGTCTGCTTCTGTACAGATGTACAGCCTCAGACCCCAAGAAGGGCTGCCCTGAGTCAGGGTGAACTCCATGGCAGTGCGTTTTCCTTTATTTGAGACTTCCTTCTTTTCTGATACGGACATTCAAGGCGCAGCATTTCTTCCAAATATGCATCTCATAAATTTAGATATGCAACCCCCTGATTATCATCGGTCATCGAAACCTGTGGCATCTTCCGTTCTCTTCGACCCAGGAAATGTTTAGAAGCGGTTCTGTTTGGTTGCATTGCTTGTTTGTGTGTTTTTAATCACACAGAGTATTTTTCTAGTTCATTACTGATTTATTTCCTAGGTGCATTTGGGTTAGAGAATATCTTTGGCACGTGTTCAGTCCCTTGAAATGCCTTGAGCTGATGCTTGGCTGGGGCTGAAGAAGCCACTCTCCAAGCTCCTTGGCTCGTGGGCCTCTCCAAGACTGCCCACAGCACGGTTCCTCACGGCGAACGAGCCTCGAGAGACCAACCCCAAGACAAAAGCGGCAGTCTTTTTAGGACCTAACCTCAGGGCTGTCTCTCCAATACTTCTGCTGGATTCTCCTCACCAGCGCAGCCCACACTCCAGCGAAAAGGACTTCTATTTCTTGAAGGGAGGAAGATCCAAGAATTTATCAGCATATCTTTATTGATTTAAAACATTTTCTTCTGCTATTGGTGGAAACTGACAGCGCATTTTTTTTGTCTTTTCCACTCTCCACACATGTTGTCTCCTGACATTGATTGTAATCCCCACAATGGAACAACGCTCTTCCCACTTCCCTGTGTTTCCCCTTTTCTATTCATCCTTCTTTTGTATCCTTTCTTCCTCCTGAGCCACAACCCTGGCCAAATTTTGCCTTTCGGTCTCCTATTGTTGATTATTCTAAGGAATATGCACCTCTCTGGTCTTGTTGTCTGTCTGCTTTATAGGTGTATCTATTGTTGGGCTGAGAAGCTCCGCCACGAGGGTGACTTCAAGGGTGAGTGCCTAGGGACATAGTCTTAAAGGAGACCTGGTGGTGTCGTAGTTATGTGTTGGGCTGCTAACGGCAAGGTCAGCAGTTGGAAACCACTAGTCACTCTAGGAGAGAAAGATCAAGTTTTCTACTCCTAGAAAGAGTTACAATCTTGGAAGCCCACAGGGACAGGTCTGTCCCGTCCTATGGGGTCGCTCTGAGTCAGAATGAACTTGACAGCAGTGAGTCTGGCTTGGTTTGGCGCTTGCCGTCCTTCCTCGGGCACCGTGCCACCATCCCTCCCGTGGCACTCTGCTCGTCCGAGTTCAGTAATGCCACTGCATTGGCTCCACAGACTCACAGACAGTCCTCACAACTGAGGAGTTGATTCGGGGAAGTTAACAACAGGTCACAAGTCAGGATCAAAGTTCATTGGGGACACAGTTCCTTTGTCCACAGCGGCTCTTCTCAGACATGCTGGCAGACACGTCTCCCCTTTAGCCTCTGCCCTGTGCCAGCAAAAGCTATAAACCTCTTCTGTTGCTGGTTAATGCCCGAAGGCACCCCACTCTGCAAGCCAGCTTCCTGACCAAAAGCATTCGCCCTTACTTGTTCTGTGGTCCAGGAAGCCCACCACTCTGTCTCTTGATCTCTGCTGCTGCCCTGGTTAGAGCACCCTACACTTTATTTGCCCACCTAGTCATTTGGGGACCATGGCATAGACTGTGCCTAGAAGAGTCATCCCAAGGAATTTCATTTCACCACACTGCCACGGACTTCATTTCTAATCGATGCAGATGGAAATGATTTCAGACTTACCTTTTGTGGCATTCAGTGTACCTGTTTAAGGATGAACGAAAAGTCGAACCCATTGCTCTCAAGTTCTGACTCAGAGCGACGCTCTGCAGGCGTTCTGAGGCTGCTCTTCCCAGGACAGACAGTGATCCTCTTCCTCCCTCTGGACGGCTGGTGGGTTTGAACTCCCATCTGTGCAGTTAGCCGCCCAACAGTTGACATCGGGCCCCCTCCGTTCAAAGACGACTGCAGGACGTTTCCTAGAAGGAGAATTTGTGGTTCAAAATTTATTTGCATCTGACATTTTGATCGGTATTACCAAATTGCCCTTCAATGTGGTTGTATCAGTTAAAGGTACTCTTTCCTCACACTTTTAACCATGCCGTGAACTATCAGACTTTTCTATCTTTGCCATTTGATCTATGAAAAAGGTAGTGTTTTTAAAAGCCTGCATTTCCTCGATGATGAGTACCAGAGTTGTATATCTTTTCATTTACTAACTGTCCTTTTGTACCTTGTTTTCTATAATTTATAAGATTGAAACAATTAACAATTTGATTGGCATATAATTCACACATCGTATAATTGAATAGTTCTGTCATTTTAAGAACAGTTGTACAATCATCACTATCAACTTTAGAACAGTATCTTCCTTCTTGTGTTAATTGTTATTAGCTATCCATTTCTCCTTCACCTCCCCTGCCGTCCTCTCAAGGAACCATTAATCCAGGGCTTGGCTCGATAGCTTTACTTATCCTGGATTTCATATACAGAAAAATATTTTTAATAAAACAAGCAAAACTAACAAAGTGCAACAGAGGAAAACCTCAATGAAAAAGGAAGCAGGAAAATATTAAGAAGTAGAACAAATTTAAAATGAGTCAAAAGAGAGATCGACTGATAAGGTGCCAAATTTAACCTTACTGCGCCTGCATTCATCCGCTCTCCAATGCGTTCTGCATGAGAGCAAGACCACTCACATCTCGCTCTGGTCCAAGGTCATGGGGGTTCAACATAATCAACCTATGTTTCCCCTTCACTTTTTAAAGAATTGAAACAACTTTAGAATGGGTCAAAAAGGAGGTCAAATGATAAGATACTACATTTTAACCTATCTACTTCGGCCATAATCAACTGCACAATAGTCTGTCTGATAACACAGCTATTCACATCCCTCAGCGATGATCAGAGAGGATCCACTGGGGCTTAATCCACAGGTGGACCCTGCAAGTGGAGTTGGGCTTCAGCTCTAATCCATAGCCTTTTGCAAACCAGGTATGCACAATTGAAGCTCTGATACCAGTCCCTCCTTCAGATTTGGATTTCATTATTTATAATCCTTAGATCCAATCAGCTGGTGTGCTTCTTCCAGGTAAACATTCTTTTCTATGTGGCAATTTTCAGGGGTCCTTGCCCCCCCCCTGGAAAAAAACACACCCCCTTGACTTTTTTTGTAATCAATATGTCCTTATGTCCAATATGGCTGCTTCCCAGCTACAGCAGAAACTGTAAAAACTAAAGTTGAAATAAGGTGATACGGATAAAATAATAATATAAAAAGCAAGATGCAAATAATGAATCAGAAAGAAAAGACCCTCATCAATATTCCAAAAACTAGGGAAGAAATTTCTGTCGTGGAACAAGTAGGAGATACTTGCTCCCAGACCCAATTCAGGTTGGGTCCATAGGGAGGTCATCTGGCCAAGTGTTGAGTCTGAACCAGCATAATCACGGTTACAGTGGTCTCTCCCAGACAGGAGGGCTGGTCGAGACTCTTGCCTATGGCTAGAGTGGATCTGCGGGTGGCTCACTCTTACAAGATACTCTGCAGACGGGTTTTGGGCTCCCACTGCCCTCTATACCTTTCTACAAATTGGGTGTTCATAATTTTAGCTCTCATACTTTCCCTTCACCATATTCAAAAATGTTTTAATCATTTTATTGGGGGCTCATACAACTCTTATCACAATCCATACATCCATCCATTGTGTCAAGCACATTTGTACATTTGTTG